CGATAGCGGCTGCTCGAGCTTCGATTCGAACGGAGTCGAGAAAGTCTAACGTGCCCTCCCCCCTCCCCGTCCAAGTTTAATTAGGTGCGCCTACCTACCTATCTATCCACCCATACTCTCTGTGTGAGTGCTCCACATCTCGCACGGGAGCCGATACATACGTAGTAGGGATCGCTGTATCGAGGGAAATGGACGTTGCGATGCGCCTTTGGAAGGGAGTAGGGGAGGGGATGGCCGGCTTAAAAGGACTCGACCACTGGAGCCTGAGAGGTGGGAGGGGAAGGACGTACGGCTCTCTCTGTACGCACACGTGTACATCGACGAGCAAAAGTTGCAGCACGCGAATATTCGATATATTTCTTGACGAATGTCAATGTGACGAATAAGCGACTCTCGTTCCACGAGTACGCTTCTCGTTCGTTTCTCTCATTCTCGCTCGTGAAATTTATACACGGATGGATTTCGCTCCGATTCTCTATCCCTTTTTTAACGACGAGAGCCGAGTTTGGATTACCGCGTTACGTAAAAAACGTCTGTTCGGAATTCTTTCTTTCGTTGTTTATATTACTCGCTCGCCTCGTGTAAAATGAAAAATTGATCCGGTCACGACGGAAATATGATTTTGAATTTGAATTTACGTAACCAGAAAGTAACAACGATTCTCTCAATTCTACTTTAATTTCTTTTCGATCTAGGCGCGAAAAAGTGATTCCCTATATATATATTCATATTCAACGCCACCATACCATATATATATATATATATATATATATAAAATCATCCCTCGATGATACTACGTACTTTTGGCAGGCAGTATACCCAGGACGCGTTCGAGTGGCTAGATTCAAATGGACTGGTGCACACGTGTGCATCCTCGGATGTACGTAGGTGGGGTGGATGGGGGGGATGGCAGAAATGGACCGTTGCCTCGAGCACGACTCGCGCTGCTATGTCACTGGGAGAGGAAGGGGGGAGGGGGAGGGAGGGAGAAAGGGCTCGACTTTTGTACACGTCAGATTGAAATTTAGCGTAGGATTTGAATGAGGAAAGGCCGAAGAGTAGCGAGATTACCTCCCTGCCCCCTCCCTCGTCTCCCGTTACTTTCGACGTGCCTCGTCCGACGTTTTTCGTCCGACTTAGCCGTCGCTTCGACGCCGATCGATCGATTTTCTATTTTTCTTTTCTCCCTCTCTCTCTTTCTCTCTCTCTCGGTTCGCCCTTTTTCTCTACCTCTCCGCTTATCTCGAGAGAAACCGTCATCGGAGCGTTCGTTCGCTGCTCGTCGCCGCTCCTTTTTTATTCGTCGCTATGATCTTTCTCCGGGGGTAAATGGGCGCCTTGATCAACCTTGGAAACTTTCTTTTTTTTTTTCTTCTTTCCCTCTTTTTCTAAAATAGGTTCTTTGAGGCTGATTAGGGGAGATGGTACGTATACGAAATTCTTCGAAATTCGAAAATCGACGAATTTGTTTATCGATTAATTATAATACATTCTTCGTTCGTTTGTTGTTAAAAAAAAAAAATATAGATGTATATAGATAGAGAGTCTCCAATGATATTCGAAATAATGGCGTTTCTTTGACGTTAGGAGATAGTATATGTAAAAAAAAAAGAAGAATCAGAATAGTTTGTGATATTATCTCCTCTTTTAAAACAAAT